CACTTACTTAATAAATATATTTATTATATTTCTGTATATTTTTTTCTTTTTTCTTTCCTCCTTTCACTAGAACCTTTATTTTAATACAAGTGGAAAGTATCATGCAACCTATTTGAGTTTGAAAACTCAAAAACTAGAAACATTCTATATAACTAGTACTCTTCAGATGGAGAAGTACCAAAGCATTGGATAACAATAGGGACATTTTCTCTTGAAACAGTTATATTTTTAAATGTACACGTATGTATTCTTATATTTTTATATTTTGTCTAATTGTAAAAGCTCTTTAGAAAATACAAAAAAACCCCATGAAGCCAGAAGAAAAAAAGGCTTCCTTGCATTCTCAACTTCTCCTAATCCTGGTGGTCCTTCCTTTGCTTTTTTTTTTTTTTTTAAAAAAAGTTGTGAAATACATTCTTAGGGCCATATTATAGGTAACTGCTACGACTAAATGTTGGGGTACTGACTTGAAAGAGCCTCATATGTAAAATGAAATAATGCTTTCACTTTCTCATTTATTTGTATTTATGTTCAATGTGAAAGTTGTTGACCATGACTGGAACTTATTTCCTGTCTTCTAATTGCCAGTCACTATATGGATTTTGGAGAAATTAGCCATGGATTTCTTTTAAAACAAAATGAAGTTGCTGAAATGGAATCTGTATTTCCCATGTAAATCACAGAACTGCTTAGACTCTATTATTTTCTCTGCTCAAATCCAATTTAATATAATAAATAATGTACAGCATATATTTGCAAAAAATATTTACCCCAAAATTGCAAACAAGCTTTTGTAAATACTTAATCTTTAGGTTCTTAGTTGGAATTAGAAGAATTATGTTATTTATATTTCAGTCAGTATTTGTTGCTACAAAGGTAGAGAAAAAAATATCTGTTACCTAAGATTATATTATGCTAGTGCCATAAAAACTACCATGGTGACAGAAAGTTTGTGAACCCTTTATAACTTTATAATCCTGCAGTACCTATCTTCCTATAGTGGGATCTGACCTTTGTCTAACTTTTGTAATACAGTACACTGTTTTAGATGTAGTGTGCTTAACCAGAATCTCTTTATCTATTAATAGGACCATCAGCTGGGGCAAGTATTAAATCCATCATTTTACCCACTTGTTTCCTTAACCCCATTCCTATGTTCTTTATTAAGAAATGTTCATGTAAATCTAGTACATACTGATTTGGGGTGTTTCTAACTAAAATTATTTCACCCAATTTTTTCCTTGATCTCTCTGCCAATTTTCTCTAAAAGATTTTGCCACAATCCTAGTATTGTTGAATGACAGACTGGAAGCTGGTAGAATTGAGGCATAGTATCATAGTAATATCTGTTTTTTTCCTCTTGGAATCAGAATGTAGGAGCACCCAATGGTTCACTGAGATACTTTAGAGTGGATTTATTTCCAGTCGCAAAGCTGGAGAAATTAGAGTTCCATTTAATTTAGCTTATAGAATATTCCCCTCAGGAGTAAGACTGTGTAGATTACCTCTTCTGGAATGTAGGTGAAAGGAACACCTTCTAAGTCTTTAAAATTATTTTATTTATTTATTTGCTCACATATCTCACTATAGCAGAAATGCCAAGACTCCGTGTTTGTGTGTGTGTGTGAGGGAGAGAGGGAGAGATTATTCCAACTGATCATTCTACCTCTTGGTTTGCATATGTCCATACAATCTTTTGAAATGGTTAGTAAGTTTGAAAATGCTTTCTTATTATTATATTCTGATTATCCACTTATATTCAGTTTATCTCAATCATCTTTCAGTCACAGCTCTGTAAAGAAATGCATTTTCCTGTTTATTTTCTTATTCTAAAAGAAAAGATTACAAATAGGGTTTTTAAAATACATAGTATTTTGACAAGTTTTAAAGAGATCCTTTGAGCATTTTAGATAAGTAACAGCATGTACATGTTGTGTTTGGTTTTTCATGCCTTTGTATAATCATTTACATTTAGATTGTTATCCTCAAAGAAAGGAGGAAGCACAGTATGATGCTTTCATATATTTTTGTTTGGTTATTGGAGCTATAGCTGTGCCCTAAAAATCTCTCTCCTGCTTAGACAAGAAAAAGGCTGAATTTGTGTTAAATTGTTTTTCATCAAATGCAACAGTGGTTTGCATGGTGACAATGGAAGTGAAATTGTGTATGGGAATCTATAAACAAAGATTGTAGTTGTTTAGACTAATGCCTTTCTCCGTGTGTCAGCACAAAGTCAGTGGCCAGTTTCTTTTGCATTTGGTTTTTTAACTTAGGAAACACAAAGTTTTCTTCTGTTTTTATATTTCAAAAGTGCATGCAAAACATGAATAGAAAGGAGCGTACTATTTGCATTTTGCAAGTTGTACACAATTAACTATGTAGTTGAAGTAGAGACCTCACTAACGCTGCATTCCAAATGTTTCTCCCAAACTAATAGATTCACAGGTGGAGAGCGAGGCTTCTCCTGAGAAGCGGCCACGATTACTGGAGGATGGTCATGATAGACCTGAAGAAATCAGCCGTTCCAAACAGAAGAGCAGACGCAGGTGTTTCCAGTGCCAAACGAAATTGGAGCTGGTACAGCAAGAGCTGGGATCATGTCGTTGTGGTAAGGACTGGCAAACACATTTGAATTAAGTTTTTCTTTAATTTCCCACCCATTGAGGAACAAACTGAGCTACATTATAGTGGTAAAGAAATAAGGTAACAAAATTGTGCAATAACTTCAGTAGGTTAAATCTGACAAGGTCAAGACTCTCAAACCATCCATTAGTATAAGGATACTTTTGTATGTAAAGAGGTAGATTATAGATTTATTATACCTAATTATGGGGTTAGCTACTAAGATTTAGCAAACTATTGAAGTGCCTTATTTTGAGTAGTAGTTCTTAATTTATCCTCTTCTGTCATTAGATACTACAGCCATATGAAGCTACCTTTTTACCAAGTTCTTCTATTCTAGATCATTATTGTTCCATCAACACCTTCCAGGGGTTTCAGATTGAAGTTTTTCAGCCATTCTAGAGGTTAGATCTGGTATCTTCTGCATACAAAGAATGTGTTCTTCCCCTGGGCTAAAGTCTCTTCCATAAGCCTTTTATTCAGTAGTTATAAAAATCTTATGTCCAGTCCAGAGGTTCATCATACATACAAAAGTTCCACTGCATCAACTTGAACTCCCCCATCTAAAGGTTTCCTCTATTTACTACTCTGTGAAGGGTATGAATCATGGAATCTCTGAGATACTCCATGGCAACATGCAAATGTATGCTTCTTTATTGAAATGGGGATGATTAAGCATAGTGAATTATCATGAAAAGAAACTAGGAATAATTCACAGCATAGGAATAGTATATTAACTCCCTTTGTAGCAATTTGAATTGCATACTTAATTTTTTCAATAATATTTATTCATACTGCATCCATAAGTTGTTATAGTCTGTCACAGAACTAAAACCTAACACTATTATTTATTCATGAAATGTGATTTCTGTTAGTAGTGCTATGCTGTATGTTCTAGATTCAGCATTTCAGGGGCTTAAATATTAAAAATGACTAGACTACACTATGGCTGGGAAAGTGTCACATATATCTACATACCTGAACGGAAAAAAATAGGCGGCTGACTGTGTACCTGCTTAACATTTAATACTCACAGGACTCTGTTTAGACTATTATTCTTGGGTTTCCTCTGTAAAGTACAAACTAAGATAGCAAAAACTGCTTTCTTTGTACCACACTAGTTTTTATTGTTATTATGGTTGGTCACACAGTCAACCAGGTGTTTAGACTGGATTTGGCATTTTTATCCACCTATCAAGTCCTTCCCAAGGATCTGGAATA